GCCCGCAATCCCAGCACACTAGAACAGGAGCAGCGTGCATGAAGCTGTAGCACATAGCTAGCCTACAAGCATGATGCACACCTTCTTTTCCTTGAAGGCTTGACCAGCTCTGTAGTTCCCTAGCAGCAAACCACTTCACAGTGTTACCCTCTGAGAACCCTATGTTGGAAATTATATTAGAGGCCTGTACCACAAGGCTCTGCCACAACAGCACATGCTATATTAGTGGAGAAATACGCTCCGAGTTGAACATACAAGGATATTATTTTCTCAAATCCCAATTCCTAACTGGCCCAGAGTGTGGCCCATCATCAGCCTTTGGCCTTGGACCTCCATGGTAACGAACAAATGTTGCTCTTGAAAAAAGAAACATGTGGCATGTGTCTCACCAACTCTTTCCTTTGCCAGGCTAGTCTATGCCCATGGCCACACAACCATTTGCTCAGCATGACTACAAGATAATGGGCGTCAACCACAGACTTAAAAATGTATGAGGAAGAGCACCAGCACCATTTCAGAGCAAGAGAAATGATATAGTGAACTGAGGATGGATAGACGGGCTATGGCTTTGACCGGTAGGTGTTTCAAGTTCTTGTGAGTCAATACATATTTTTCGCAAGTAACTTTCGCCCTTGCAGAGAGAAAAAAAAAGAAGCACAGATACTCCACAGATTCAAAGCATGAAAACATGTGGAATGAGCTATTGCACTCACGTCTCATGAGAACACTAAATAACTGCCTGCCTTCCTCCCTGCACATTCAAAGAATGAAAAAAAAAAATTTTGATGGACAACGGCAATGGAGTAAGTATTACAACAACTGAATGCTGGCATACGTTCCACCATGCCTAAGTATTACAACAACTGAATGCTGGCATACGTTCCACCATGCCTATCTGCCTGCAGGTCATTATCAACATGGCAGAGCATCCTTATGCGCGGGAAAGACTGAAGGAAGCTCTTCCAATTCTGCAGAGGATTCAGAAGATCACACCATCACCCATTTTGGCAAGATATGCAACACATGCTATCCTACAGATCAATTTTAAGCATCGTCCGTACGAGGGTTTTTAAAGAAAGTGGGCTCTTGTCCAGGTAAGGTAGCCAGGAATATACCGCAGATATTCAGCTGATGCCTTGGGGAACGCTCCCCCCCCTTGTCCACACTCTCGAATGGTCCAACCAAGTCAAAGCCCCTACGATTTCTTCTTTCTGAGTTGATTGGTCTCCTTTCCTTGCGGAATTCCGAAGGTGCAATCAGGCAAGGCCTACTTGGAATGTGGTTGATGAAAACGAGTGGAGGCCACAGAACGGGAAGGGGTAGAAAAGGGCTGAGAGGGGTTCTTGCATATTGCAAGATTTGAACTCATGACCTGTTAACCAAAAGCTACATGTAAATCTGTAAAGAAAACAAAGTGCGGACGAGGTTAAAGGTAGGAAGAGGCATGCAGGGGGCCAGGGGCTCTTTTTTTTTGTTTTTTTGGAGTGTCATGGCCCTTTTGAGACCCCACCCACCCTCTTCTCATTAATTCTCCACGATGCACCCGCACTCCCCGTCCTACCTCATTGTCCTACCGCTCAGGACCATCACCCTTCTACCGTGTGCAGGGTGATCTGATTGGACAGTGGTTGCAGGAATCAAGTCTGAGTCTGAGCAGGAACCCTGCTCAGCCCTGGCTGAAGCATGTTGAACGAGCCCTGTTGTACGGGTACTTCGGCCAATAGGCGTAAGCATTCTCTCTACAGTTCCCATGGGTAGACCCTTAGTGTCCCCCAAACTTACCCGGGCCCCCCAGTGTATGGAACTACTCATGCACGGCTAGACATCACTCGCAGCGTCTAATGCCCCCCCCTAGCCAAGGCCTAACCTATGACACCCAGTAACCTGGGTATACCCACCTAGCACAGCTGTTATTGATTGTTTTGGTCATTGTGAGCGCCACCTAGAGGTACTCTAGCCTCTGCCATCCGTAGGTGGACGGCCACCACCCCCACCCTTTTTGTTTTTCTTTTTTTTTAACATCCACATGGACCACTATTGGAGGTGATCTGAGCATCCCCGAATAGTAGAGTCCCGACTGTAGATGCCCCAGCCTATTGGTGGGAGGCAGTGCCTGATGGAAACTGGGTCCAGCATCAGACATTTCATGTGAGTACAAAGATCAGGGGACACTGCAGCATTGATTACATAGCCTTAATATATTTTGAGAAGAAGAGAGAAAGAGAGCTGAAGATCACAGGCAATACAAGAGACTCAATCAGGGACATGATTCCCAAAATATGGAAATCCACTTCAGCCAGAGATAATGCCATTGGATCATGGAAAGTTTGGAGATAAACAGCCCTACCTGAATGGATTCACGCTGCAAGCTTTCCCAGGTCAGTAGAGGATGGCTACGTCTTAGGGTCTGTAGGTGTAGGCGTCGCAGGTCAGTAGAGTACAGTACCTGTAGGAGCACGTCAAGTCCCCAAAGGTCCAATTTTGCAGCAGCCTCACAAGTACCGATTGAAGCAGGCACACACATCCCACTGCAATAATATATTTGGGCTACAGTGCCGGAACGCAATCAGTTGTTCATTTCGCAAATTTGCGGAAGCGCTGCTGGAGCTTGTGTGAACTAGTGACCTGGGCGAAGAAGAGTGCTGGAGCAGAACAGCGCTGGAGGAAGAAGACGACCAAAGCCCAGTGAGACAAAGGAAGACAACTGGTGGCCATAGGCACCCACGCTTGTCAAGGCACACCACAGAGGCATTCAGGGTAGATCTAGGACATCAAAGGGAGGAGGAACAGTACTGAGGAGCATCAAGGGATGAACAGTGCATTAGAGAGAGAGAGAGAGAGAGAGAGAGAGGAGAGAGAGAGAGAGAGAGAGAGAGAGAGAGAGAGAGAGAGAGAGAAGAGAGAGAGAGAGAGAGAGAGAGAGAGAGAGAGAGAGAGAGAGAGAGA